TCACCCCTGTTCTTCTTAAACCACACCCCTCAAATGAATAAAAATGTAAACTACATACCTGATGTTCTTCATCTGCCGCTGAAGCACAAAGGAGCTCTGTGCTACGTCTTCTAGCGTCCATGTTTGTTGCTTTGTGTGCTTATGAAAAGTGTCATCAGTAGAAGCGACGATATAATCAAGTTAATGAGCGGATGTTGTTTGAAAATTAAAAAAAACAACATACAATTAATGAAATACATTACTTGGCTTAACAGATGGTATTGTTGATTTATTAAACAAAAGAGGTGACGGTCAACAGAAAATATTCAAACTCTCTCACCACACATCTTATTTATATAATTACAAGGTAAAACCACCCACTGCAAATGACCTATTAGGAGCAAAGCAGAGATAAAACATACATATGATGGCTCCTACAGGTGTATATACCTTTATACAAAAGGAGAGATTACATCGCCAAAATATTTGATTAACATTTATACCTGAAGCCGCTTGAAAGTATCCTCTCAAGTTTAGCATTGTTTGAAAAAAACATGGAAAGTGGTTTATCGTTCCTCTATTGAAATAAAGGTGGGTATGTCTTGATTGGCTGAATAGGAAGTAGTGCTGGGCGATATGGCCTAAATTTGATATCACAATATTTTTTTGCCTAATGTCGATATTCAATATTTATCGTATTAAAGTTTATAAATGTAGCCTATAAAACTGAATCTCCACTGTATAAAAAGAAAATACACTGACCTGACCACTGTGATCACTGGCTCAGGAACATTACCTTTGATTAGAAAAATAACAGTCACCGATTTACTCCTGAACCATTCTGATGCAAAAGTCAATAACAACTTTTATTAAATATTTAAACTTGTATTTTTCTTATATCTACGTGCTCATGTTTATTCACCATGCTGTAAGAGTCTACTTAATCTGATATTAATATGAGGCTGTGATAGATCTGGAATCTCTCCTTCTTTCTTCTCTGTGAGAAACTCTTCATCTTTAGATCTTTAGGAGCTCTCTTCAGGGCTAAGGTGCTTTGTGAATAACTTTGATCTTTACCAGGATCTAGTCTTCAACTTTAACGTGTTCCAGCTCCTCCAGCTGTCTGTCACTGTGGATCTAACTTTTCTCCGTTCTGTTTTCGCCCTGCTGTCACTCTCGACTTTTCCGGTGATTGTTATTCCTTGAATGCTGATTTAAGCTCGGCTTTTGTTGGGATCTGATGGTTTTAAAACCGTTTTACCAAACGCAGTGAAGCCGCCAGCTGAACGTGCAATCAGCTGGACTCTGTCAATCATTCATCCGGGCCAGCGGGCCAATTATAATGTCGAGCCCTGCGTTATGAGCCTTTTTTTGGAAGTAATTCGGCCTCGCTCGCATCTTTCTCCTCCGTGTTGGTCGCTTTTAAGAGCTGGGCTACTCAGCGGCAGGAGTGAAGTCTCCTCCGCCCTTTCGTCTCCGCGCAACAAGCGCTGCTGCGGAAATCTCACGGAGCAACGAAATCTTCGACAAAAGAAGCAAGAAAGAAAACTTGGAAGTAGTTTAAAAATAAAATCGATGTTCCCTTTTCCATATCAAGCATTAATTAAATATCGATCGAATCGAGCTTCATGATATATCGCCCAGCACTAATAGGAAGGAGACATCTGATTGGCTGCAGACATTTCTCTGCTGAAAAAAATGTATTTGTGAATTTGAATCACGACAGGGGAGTCTCAAAATTCCCAAACACAAATGCAGTGAGGTTCACCCAAGACAGACAGTTTGTAAATGCAGACTGAAAAGTTTGTACATAAATGTAACAAGATCCAATAAATGCTTTTCTTTCACATTAATCAAAACACAACAACAACAAAACAGTTGTTGCATCTGATGTTAAAGGTAGAAGCCAGCCAGCGTGTCATCTGGTATAAACAGCTTGAACAGAAAGATTTAAAAAAAATCATTCATTATTTTAAATGTTTCATGATTAAAGATACATGATGATGAATGTGCCGTCACTCAATGATGTTTAGATCCCAACTCCAGCAAACTTCTGGGATGTAGGGAGACTCGACCAGGCCCCTTTCCTGATAAAACCCATAGACAGAACTTCAATTACAGACAGTACTACTAAAAGGTCCATTTAGAGTTGTATAATCTTTTGGTTCATAACATCTGTTCATAGTGAAAAAAGGATGCACAACACGATTTCTACAAGATGTATAAATGACAAAAAAGCTGCAAGATGGTGGTGACCTCTTACAAATAATCCAAGCGCTGTCTCAAACAGTCACTCATAACTGATGAAACTTTATTAGAAAAACAATACTTTTTATTAGCAGGAATAAAGACAGCAGGGCACCATGTTCAAAAAGCTGCAGCAGGGTCCGTGGTTGGCGTTTTTCCTGCAATGTGTCCCCACTACCGAGTAATACCCGGTACACAGTGAGCACGCCAGCTTCGTCTGAATATATGAGGGGATAAAAGACATCTGAATGACACAGATTCAACTTACCTCTGTTTGATGCCTGGGTCCAATCATCTGCCCCGATGCTGTCCTCCTCCTCCCTCTCCATCCTGCATCAAGTAACAAGCACTGTGTGATTAAACTTCATCAGAGTGAAAATACACATGAAAATGATGACAGGTTGTTGAACAAAGCAACAGGTGTTATTAATACTGTTTGTCTGTTTTCTTGTATCTGTACATCTTAATGTTTCTTGTAAGTGAGTCTGTGTCTTTAAGTTTTGTATGTTTTATTGAGTTACTTGGCTGCAAAGCAAATTTCCCCATGAAGTTGAAGTTGGTACAAAATGTTTTCTGATCCAGACAGGACAGCATGGACAGTCAAGTTTTTTAACAAGTAGTCCCTACAACAACATATCGTCTCTAAAAAAATTTCCCAGCAGCAAATTTCCCGATTTGATATCAACCAGGAAGTTTATATTTAAAGAGGTCATATTATGTTCTTTTTGTGGTTCATATATTTAATCTCTGTATCTACTAAAGTATGTTCACAATATCTAAAGTTATAAAAAAGTGTCTGTTTTCATGAACTGCCGCTCCATGCACCGGCTCGCTTCTGACTCTCTCTCTAAGGCTCTGAAGCGCCCACGTTCAGAGTCCCCACGTGTGCCAAGTCTGATCTGATTGGTCGGCCTGTCGGCAAAAACATTAGCACGTTAGCACTACTGTGCTACTGCAGGCTACGGCATATCGTGGGCGTTGCTACAGAAGTTAACGGGCGTGCAACATGAGCTGCAGGGCTTGCCACAACGAGCCAATGGGCTTAGATCAGTGACATCACACTGACAAGACGTCACACTGACAATTTTTTTTCGAGGGGGGCTAGAACTGAGTGTTACATGCAGCTAATGCTACAGCTAACAGGAGGACGTAGGAGAAGCTGCGTTTCCGCGGACTTTGAATTTTTGCACATAGATGTGCCTAAACATGATAATGTATGCATGTGCATGCAAAAATGTGTACTAATTCCAGAGACATTTGAATGTTGAGAAAATCTTACCTGAAATCCATGTGTCGATCAGATGAAAGGTTTCTCTTGTGCCTAAGTTTGTTGGGAAGAGAGAGGGAGAGAGATTAGATCGTTAGATATTAGAAAATTATTTACATCGGTCTACCTTTATCCTATTCCCCTACCCACATGGGGGAGGGGTTACTGCCCTTTGTGATGTCATGAAGGGAAAATCTCCAAACAGCCTGTTAGAACACATTTTCTGAAAAGTGGAGCAGCTAAAGACGGAGAGGATGAACTTCTCCCTTTATTCTTAATATTGGGGGGTTTGGAGACAGACTAGCGACACATATTACTGTTAGAAACACTTGTTAAAGTGTATTTTAAATATGTAACCTTTAATTTATGATATAAAGTCTTTACAGTCAGATGATAACGAGACGCCAAACATGTCTCAGGGGACCAGGGTGTGTGTGTGTGTGTGTGTGTGTGTGTTGTGTAATAATTGCAATGACATTTAAAGGTTGATTAAATCTTACCTTAGAGATGATCTTTTTTCTTTGAAGGACCTGACAGTTGACATCATGCAGTGGTTCAGTCAGTGTAAGACTACATGTAACTGTAAGACAGTTTGAAGATTGCAATGTTAAACATCCAGACCCAACAAATGCTGAAAAGTACAAATTAGGAATCAGTCCAGTAAAAGTTGACTGTGTTCATTCCAAGGTTAGGATTGTTAACGAAATCAAACAAATAACAAAAACTCAAGTGTAAAAAACATTTTCATTAACTGAAACTAAAATTTAAAACAACTTTACCAAAAACATAACAGAAACAGTATTGTGTAAAAAAAAAGACCTAAAATAAAATCATAGAGAAAATGTCTTTAGTTTTTGTCTCTGACACAAACGTACAGAGTGACACTCGGCCTGTCATTACATGTTGTCTCGAGTATTTCAGTTTCAATTTTGGATAAACTCACTGACCGCACAAGTTAAAACTTTTTTCACTGACTCACATAATATGTCTAAGGTTCATAAAAAAAAAGTAGCTTGATATGTTCTCTGAAAGATTTACGATACAGAGACCAACAAAATGGGGGCGGCAGTAACTCAGTCTGTAGGGGCTTAGGTTGGGAACCAGAGGGTCGCCTGTTCAAGTCCCGGTGCGGACCAAATCTGGAAGTTTGTCTGGTAGCTGGAGAGGTGCCAGATCGCTTCCCGAGCACTGCCGAGGTGCCCTTGAGCAAGGCACCAAACCCCCAACTGCTCTGATGCGCTCTCTGCTTAGCAGCTTGTAACAGCCCCACTCTGACATCTTTCCACCAATGCATGTCCACAGGTCCTGTTTGTGCATGTGTGTGAGAAGCATGTCCCTATAAATATCAGAGTGTGAAACCTCAGGGATTAATTAAGTATATCAAAAAATAAATAAAACTAAGCATTTACAAAAAATAAAACGGTATAATATAATAATAATATAATATAAATAAAAATGGTATAATATAATAATAATATAATATAAATAAAAACGGTATGGATTCTGTATGTGCAGACGAGACACACCTGTTTCCAATCTGCTCGTCAAAATCCCTCTCCTCTCAGAGCATTAGCGTAAAAGATCCTAGGAAGGATTTTTAGTTTAGGAACATTCTCAGGGCAACTCTTTTACAAGGATCTTGTCTTAACTTTAAGGGGAAATTCTTAGAAAATGTCATGATTCTCCAAATTGTCTTAAAATTTGGTCACTAAGAGCAACTCTTAGTATTTTGGAGGATTGTTATGTCAAAACTATTTGAATATTCGTACAGATCCACAAATGTGTAAATAGAGATCCACAAATGCACACACAGATCCACAAATGTGTAAAAAAAAGAAAAATCCACAAATGCGTGTACTAATCTGCAAATCTGTAGACCAATTTCTAAATGTTTACTTATTTATTAATAGCAGTGAACTTTTTCAGCTGTAAATCCTGAAAATACACAAATGACCTCTTACAACTGAGGCGGGCCTCTCCATTGGCTGTCATTTTACATACATTTTACAACACTCCTGTAATGTTGATGGCAGCTTTAAGTGAAGCAACAACGCCATCTATGGGTGACACATTTATATAGAGCAGTCATGTAGCTCAGTCATGGTTAGTTAGTCACTGTTTGTGCATGTAACCGGCAGCCTCTGGATTAAAGCCTATACATTGCTACGTCGTTGTCCGCCTGCTTCATCTCGGGGTTTTACAAACATTACAACTCCTGCCGTGCAAAATCCACAAATGCGCACACATATCTTCAAATGTGTCTGACGAGCTGCAAACACGGCGGGGTTTGTTGCCCTGAGCTCAGGCTCACAGGTTAGGCTGTGTTGGGTAACGCTTTGCCCTCACTGTAAAGGAAACAAATTTCAAAAACACAAACTATAACGGACCCTCCATCTTAGCCTCCTAAAGTAAAACTGCACCCACGACAGCTATCCAGCTCAGTAATGTCCATCTTGAAGCCACTGGGTGCTACCGTGGACTGGCAGCCTAGCCTGTGAGCCTGAGCTCAGGGCATCAAACCCAACAATTGTTTTTAGGAACGAGAGTGAAGGTAAACGAGATAATAACAAGATCTTTATCTCGTAATAAGAAGAAACCAGGCAAAAAATAAAAAGTATGTCAACATTAACAAACATATTTTGCCCATCATGATCATTTTACAACTCGGAAACACGTTTTGCCTATGTTTCCTACACCAAAGATTTCTGACTCTATCCACTGTCCTGTCGTGAAAATAAAGGCATAAAAAGCCTCGAAAACAAAGCATTGCATTTGGTAATAGTATGCTTTTTCTCTCCTATAGGTCTTAGACTAACAGTTGAATTTCAGCTCACATTTTAAGTGACATATTCATGCTCTGTACCTTACAATGATAGTGATTCAGATCATCCCAAACACTGCAGGAACTTTTGACTTCTATTACAAATCAGAGAAGACCCACACGCAGAATCACAGGGCAGAGGCAGGAGTAAGGCACAAACTGAGAGTTTACTGAAGTTTTCAGGAAGAGCAAAACTCAGTCCGTCCCAGAGGTCAAAACCAAAAATGAGGATAACCAGGCAGAAGTACAGAGGCATCAGGCAAAAACTCAAAACAGTGCGTTTGATGCTGGACAGGACAGGATTATGGAATAAATACTCATAAAAAATATCTTTCCTCTGGTTTATTTGTAATGTATTTGTTCCGCTTTGGTTCACGTATTGTGTATTTATCCAGCTATTGATAAATCTAACTATAAACTAAATTAACATTAATTAAATACTGAACTTTAGTACAGTTTTGAGGTAATTTAGTCTACTAGCACTACCTATACCTATCCATTCTTTTGTTTGTTTTTCCTTCTTCATTTATGCCACTTAATACAGCTATACTTCACACTTATTTGGCTGTTGCTTACTTGAAAAAGTAAGTGTGAAATACTTTTACAAAGCTGGAGACAAATTTAAATTTTGGAAAACATTTTATGAAATAAAAATTACAAAAGGAAAACACTTTCACAAAGGACAAAACAAAGTTTAACGCAGTCTATTGGGCCATATTTACCTTTATTTGATAGGACAGCTGAAGAGAGACAGGAAAAGGCTTACACACTTTCAGAAAAATTCTAAAAAAAAAATCAGGATATTTCCAGGAGGAGCTGCATGTGTGAACGCAAACAGCCAAATTTTTCATTCAGACTTCACCCGGAGTTTCTCCTGCCACACACCATAGTATTTTTTTCCACAGCAAATCCAAGTCAGCTGATGTGAGAACGCAGCAGGATATTCTCTGGAGAATTCACCTCGAGCCAATGGGAGGGGGAGTGACGTGTATACTGTGACTGCTGCACGGTGCATAAAGTGTATACACCGTACGATCTCCATGCAGGTAATTAAACGACTGCATTAAGTTTTCTGTTCGTCAGTATGTTGTTCTCACTCTTTAGTTGACATTGTGATACAGGAATAGTCTGCATATGTGAAAACAGGTTAAGTGACCGCTTCTGGCATTTGGTACATTCCCTTTCCGTCAAGATTCTGGCATTTGTAAATTCCTCTCAGCGCTCGTAAAAGTGTTTGACACCTTTTAAATTTGTTTTCTAAAATGTAAATAATTATTTCCATAGAGTGAATTTGTCATTTGGTTTGTACTTCCCAGCCACCGTACAATACAGATTCAGACAAACCATTCCACATCATTCGCATTAATAGAATCAAGAGGAAATCACAAAGCAGTTGGGGTATTTTTGGACCACAAATAAGCATTTGACACAATAAATCATGAAATACTGATCAATAAACTAGAACGATATGGCATCAGGGGGGATCGTATCGTAGGCAACAATTTGTGAAGTTGGGGGAGTTTTAATCATCGTGCTTGGACATTGCTTGTGGCATCCCCCAGGGGTCAGTGTTGGGTCCTAATCTGTTTATTTAATACATTAATGACATACTGTATGTAAAGTCTCTAATAAACTGAAGCTGGTCTTATTTGCAGATGATAACAATATTCTTTGTTCAGGTGAGAATCTACAATTATTAGAGGTTATTACTACAGAAATGGCAACAATTAAAAAAGTGCTTTGATAGAAATAAATTGTCATTAAATTTGAATCACATAAAAATTATTTTTTTTGGTAATTATGAAGCAGACACAAAAATACAGCTACAAATAGATGGTGTCAGCATTGAAAGAGTTTATGTATACACATTTGTTGGGGTAACAATAGATAAATAAATCACAAATCTCTCCATACCCTCTACAGTACACTTGTTTTACCATATTTAAGTTACTGAGAGGAGGTTCGGGGCAACACATTTAAAAGTTAAGCGCATTCACTCTCCGTACTTCAGAAAAGAGCCATAGGCTTCGTTCATAACGCTGGATATCGGGATCACACTCAGTCATTATTCTTGCAGTCAAAAACACTCAAACTCACAGAATTTCAAATAGCACAAATACTGTACAAAGAAAAAAAACTATTTACTACCAGCAAATATCCCAAAACTATTCTTTGATAGAGAGGGGGGTTACAATATGGAGACAACTGAATCTCAAAATTCTGGCCACACGCACAACATTCAGAAGTTTTTCTGTTTCTATTGTTGGCATAAAACTTTGTAACAGTTTAAATGTGGAGCTGAAGCCAAGTCCAAGCACAAACAACTTTTAAAACATGTACAAAAAATAAAAACATTTTCAGAAAGTATAAGGATGCAGAAGGGACTAAACATTTGCTGCGTGGTTATGATGGTGATTATAACGGTTGTTCATTTTTCTTTTCTGTTTGTTTTTCTAAAAGGAATGAAGGTATATATGTAAATATGTTGACAGGTATGGTGAAGGGTAAATAGGTAATGGAGAAAAAACACTAACTTAAATGTATTACTACAAACTGTATATCATTAATTAAGGGAGAAGAACATGAATAGAAGATAAAAGAAATCAATACATGTTAAATATGTCAATGGTTGATAAATGATAGACAGAAAATGATAGACTCTCTACTGCGATGGAGGTGTGCCCATCTTGGACAAGTATAAATTAATTACACCTGTGCATGGTTGATAAATGAAATTA